TATTCAGTTCGGTAAAAAGGAAGGAAAAAAAAAACAGTGGACCATTTATCTTGGTTTATGTATTAGTGTAAACAGTAACATTACATAAAAATCCTCTAAGACAACAAATAAGTACTTAATGAGAAACTCTTTTGTGTGGCTTTTAGGGAAGAGGTCAAGTTGTTAAACTTTGTGGAGGAGAATCCATATAGATCATGGCTTCTTTTTTGCACAGGCTCATTATTTTTTAACTATAGTTATCTTCAATGTCTTTTCAGGGTAATTGGGATACTTCTGGCAGTGAACTGAGTGAAGGGGAATTAGAAAAACGCAGAAGAACCCTTTTGGAACAACTGGACGATGATCAATAAATTATACCAAATATGTTTATAGTATGATTTAAAGTCAAATTCTGACCAGGGACTCTATTTTGTTCAATTTAAGTAACACTGGGTTTTAATTGTATCACAGGAAAAAAAAAGTTCATTTAAATATTGTTATTGTGGACTTTATAGAAGCAAGGGAAATTGAAAATAACATGATTCTGTATCAAGAATCATATTTTCCTATGGTCATAACTGTCTTTCTATGACCCTTTCATAGGGCACTGCAGGATGATTAAAGGTGGCAATTTACTGATAACTGCAGATGTCTCTCCTTTGTTCCAAAGTGTAAGTCATGAGGTATTTGATTTACTTTATACAAGTTGGATTTTGAAGATAAAATAAAAATTTTTTGATAATGTAGTACAAGAAAAGCACCAGCAACTGATGAAACTGCTTTTTTGTGCACTATCCAACTGGTTAAAGCCAATGTGATCACCTGTGATGAGCTCCTAAGAAATAGGTGTTTTTGATGGAAATGTGGTAGACCCCTTAACTATAGTGGTGCTAATAAGCGCTACTGTAATAAAGCCACCATTATTTTTTATGAACATCAGACTACATTTTAAAAAGGCTACTGTGAGGGCATTATTTTGAGCATATATTTTGAGGTGATGTTTTAAAAAGTTAACATCAAATCAAATTGTACATTAGTTGGAATATATTGCCTTAAGGACCTACTAAAGAATGTGCCACCAAACTTTGAGTAATAGTTGAAATATTCTTGTCTAAAAGAAAGAAACAAAAAAAATCAATGTTGACCTAAAAACACGTTTAACAACTGTCTTGATTTTTTTTTTTAATGCAGTCTTTTTTTTTTCTTTTTTTTTCTTTTTTCCATTAAAGAGGTCTGACCTTCCCTACTTACTGAGAAGTATTGACTTCATGGTACACATTCTAAAGCATTTCTGATTTGAATATTTTTGTACATTTTTATCAATTATTAAACCTTCTCTTCTAGTGTGTACTAGTATTTATTTCTACTTAAACTGCTCAGTTCTAAAAAAATTGCACGATCATTTTAAAAGGCATTAAATCACTGAAATTTTGCTTTATCTTACTCCAAATAGCTAGGTTACTTTCCCCTTTTCAGTATTTAAGATACTTTATAAATCAATGCATTTGAGGTCTGTAAATCTTTTCATCACCTATACATTTCCTATGGAATATTTTAGAAAGGCAATGATTTAAAGATAGACTACTGTTTACATGCTAACTTTTGAAGGTTAGTTAAATAATTTATACTTTTTTCCTTCAGTGCAGGAGTTTTGTTTTAAGTAAATTTTAGCACTTTCGTCTTTGGTATTATCTTGGGTATTTGTTATCTTGAGTATTTGTTCATTTGGGTACTTTCATATTGTCTAATTCTAATTGAGATTTAGAAGGACAAAAGGTTGTTCCCAGAACCGTTTTAATGAGTTTGAAAGAAGTACCAAAAAAACACATTCTGGTACACAGATCAGGACAACTTCCTACCTTGCCTACTGTTTGAGTTAAATACAGTATCTGTTGTTTAAAGACTCAAAAAGGGAGAAATAGAAAATCTCACTGTTACATTATTTTTCTGCTATAAAACGACATAAACTTGTAGAAAGTAAGATTTACCAAGAAAATGTGAAGTCATCAAATGACTTGTAATTAGTTTCTTACTGTAGTTTAGTCAAAGCATCTTAAGTTTGGCAACAGAATTACCTTGACGTTTTCACAGACCCTGTGAGTGAGGATTGCTAATCATGTCAAACGACTTGGGAGACAGTGATAAAAGTATTGGTAGATATACTAGTGATGTTTCACAATTCAATTTAGAATCTGTAAAACACTGTTTTAATTACTTCCGTGATGATGATTTTTAAAATACAAACTCAAAGTTTGGATTTTTCTATTTAAATAAAAAGCTATTGATGTGTTTTAGCATGTCCTTAAAACAGATTTCTGTACAGTTTCCTTATAGTTCTCCTGTGCACATTATTTTGCCTGAAAAACAAAAGTAGTAAACAAATGGCAACTCCAAATGCAGCATCCTTGCAAATGAAGCCAAGTGTCCCACCTATTATCCTGTCAGATGATTTTTTTTTCTGCTTATGTGGTGCTGAGGACTCAAACCACTGAGCCACCTTCCCATCCCCTCATGATGTTTTTAATTGCCAGAAAGGTAACATTGTCTGAAGGCAAGGATAATGAGAAGATTAAACTAGGAATTTTGTATGAATATTTCAGTCTAAAAGATTGTAAATCTTTAGTAAACACTGTGATCCCTTGTCTTGTTTCTATTAGTATTGAACATATGTGTTTAAACAGGAAAGGGTCTTTTTCATTTTAGATAAAAGGAATTTATACATTTCAGTTCCAAGATTCTTAAGAAAATGTCAAGGATTTATCTTCCCTGAGTATTACTAATGTTATGGATTAGATTAGATTCACTATATCAAAATCAGAACCTTAAATCTTCGATAACTTTTTTCCTCTAGTCCATAATTTCTAGTAGCCAGTTGAGGTATAAAGGATAATTTTCAATATTACTAGTGTAATATTTTAAAAATGGAATCAGTGATCTCATATTTTCAACATGGAAAATTTTATATATCTCTAAAAAACTGCAGGTCTTTCATCTTTTGACTTTTACTTAAGTGAACAATTCCAAAATAAAGAAGAACCTCCTAGTGTAAAGCGTTCAATTCCTGTTAGTAGGCACAGCAACTAAAAATCCTCCCACTTCTTTCCATTTATCTAGGAAGTAGTCATAATTTTGGTCTGTGTATTAGTTTCAATTATTATGTGCTTAACATTTGCATAAATGCTCTTGGTCTTACTCTAGTATTTAAGTGCTAAAATGCTAAGGAACCACTTTTTATTTTTGCATCCAGAAAAGGGAAACCCTATTTATATAAAAAAGTTTTACGTATCTCATATAAGCCAGAACTGTTTCTGATCAAGTAGTACACAGGGAAAAGTGATAATGCCTTTCTTTTTTAAATTCATAAGATTTTTAAATCTATTGCATAAAATGTAAATTTAAAAATTAAAACACTTCCTTTTAGAAAAGAAAACAAGTATATAAATTCCTGAGAATTCCCCCTCCTTGGGAGATGTATCTCTCTTTAACAACCAAGTAGATTTTAATTCATTCTCTAAGTTAAATTACACTCATTTTACATAAGGAAAGGCAGAATATCGTTTATTTTTGTGGAACTGTGTGCTGAAATGTTTATATTCTCATTTTATACTTCAGATAATGGCCTATAGCAGCCTAAATTCTCCAGCTGTTTTGACCTACCTGGTAGTCCTTTAAACTGGCAGGGATTTGTCTGTTACATTATTGCTGTGTACATATCCCTGTGAATGAGGGCCGTGCCCAACACATAAGACTCTGGATGAATGTAAAAGCATTAGTTGGTCCATGTTCTCATGTACCACCCATCTGTACTAAAGGGCTTGAAAAGGCATCACTGCAGTAAACCATACTAACAACTGAATCCAGTCATAAAATTTATCTACAGTGTGGTCTCTAGTGACCCTTTTAACTCAATTCAGAAGTGTCCTGAAGCTTCTTAAGTTCCAAGTCTCAGGCTATCTATGACTATGAAAGAGGCACGGTGACTTGGCAGGTACTTCATTTATTGGAGCTATCTTAAACTTAGTGGGAATTATGTTTTTGCTTTAAATTACCCACACTTTCCTTGGCCCTCCCATTTTAGTTTGTAGACCCTAAGTTCCCTAATGATAGTACATTCTCAGACCTGCTTTGTAAAGACTCAGAACTGCTTTTATGATTCTCAACAGAATGAGGACACTTAATTCATTGATACGTGATTGGTAACTGATTTGACTGTTAATTTGGTAATAACTATAGTGAAAGAGAAGCTGGATCATTCTCCATCCACCTCAAGACTGAAACCATGAGTGGCTGATAATCATTTGAGATTCAAACTAAGCTCTTGGCTAATGCTGTCCTGTGCTGTTCCTTGGATTTTCTATCTCAATGTATTACTTATAAGCACTGTGTTTACATTGGGGTAGCTGTTAATCTTTTCTGCCTACCTCTCCAAATGAACTGAGCATGTATCGGGAAACACAAGTAACAGGAGAAAGGAGAACAAGGTTTCTACTGTCTATGTTTGTAGTTACCAGATTTTCACTTGTTTTATATGTTGCTCTGATGTAAAGACCCTCACAGGCATATAAGGTTAGATGTTTTGTAAATACATATATTAGAAAAACTGGCATATTTTACTAAATAAGTTGGACTATGTGTTTTTTGTTAAGGCGCCTAAGGCAGTGTGAGCTGGTAAAATGCCCACAACTGTGCTGCTGTTTGTTAAGACACCTTCATATATGTCAGAATGTCCTTCATGCATTTGTTTTGCCTTCAAATTTTTTGTAGAGAGTAGATGGATAAAGGTAAAAGTGTGGCAATAAATTCATCTTTATAGCTATTTTTCATAGTAAAAACTAGAAAGGCAGCAGTTTAGGATACAAACGAGTAAATAAGTATGTGATTTATAATGCTAGTATTATGAAAGTATATTTCCAGGGTAACTATGGAGAAAAAATACTGTGTGCTGAGCAGGTTGAATCGGGAGCCATGGGGGCTGCAATGAGCTTTATATACCATTGAAAAACTACAACATTACAGAGTAGTAGTGTAAATAGTTTTATTTGCTCTTCATATGGCATGAAAAGACCAGAAAAGTAGCATGATTTGCATTTATAAAACATTCTAATATTGCTAAGAAGCAGGCCCATTAATAAACAGAAAAGAACATGCCAACATTATTGTCTATTCGTACATTACTAAATAGGCAATTACTTTAACAAATGCATACCAGCATTGACCTTTGAAAAAAACAGCTGCTTAAAATAATGGCCCAATTATTTGGCTTATAATTCATGATTAAATAGCTATTTTCACCAAAATGCATGTTGATGTAACAGAAAGACAACATCTTGGCATGTTCTTTTTAAAGTACACAGGGAAATGTGCCAGTAGGTGGCAGTTTAAAAGTAATCTGTAAATAGGTAGGTACTAAGGTGAACTGTAACTTATCTCTAAACTGTCCTTGTAGTTAAATATATATATATATATTAAAAAAAACTATAAGTTAAAATAACATTCAGATTGTATAGCATAGGGTGATGCACTTTTAAACAATATTTACAGTATTACCCAGAGGCTTAGGTGGGAATTAAAGAGAAGTGTAAAAACCATAAAAAAAAAACTGCACCAATTTTATAGCAAAATATCTGTACATTTAAAAAAAGATCATTTAACTACACATCCAAGGAAAAGGGACCTTCACCAAAAGGTTCACATGAGCACAACATAAAATAAGAAATTCAGTGGTTAAATACTATACAATAAACTTTACAATTAATGTATCAAGATGGTAAGCCAGAAGCAGACGTGTATATTATGAAACGTACAAATTTAGCTTGAGTCCAGTTTTTTTTAACTTTGGAATGGGTCCAGTGCCTTGCCAGAAAGAAAGGTAAAAGTAACAGGTTAACCATTTAGCCCCATCACATACAGCTTAAACATAATCCCAATGTTAATATGCAGTTCTTAACCAGCAGTAAAAGTATAAACAATTCAGCTTTGATATCTAATGCCAAACATGTTAATATTCCCCAATTTACAAAAGGAAAAAACAAAAACCCTGCGATTGTCAGGAAAGTAAAGCTAGGTTCCTAACATTGCTAGCAGATACAGTCTATGGAATGCCTACTGATAGAGCTAATAAACTCCCTAACAAGGCACCAATTTCTATCCTCAGGATTGACCCATAATAGTCCTCAGAAATCCATTAATAATGATGACTGAGATGTTAGTTTTAGTGCTAATTAAATAAATATATTTGTTTTATTAAAAAAGCTGCCCTAGCTTAAGAACATAGTGCTGCAAGTAAGTCTTATAGCATTTTATGCTATTATCTTGCATTTATTCCAGTGAATGTCTCTCGGAACAGGACAGCCAGCCTAGAAGCAGTAGAGCATGGAACTGGAGACAGATCTGAGAGACAACTTCTGTGCCACTGTAATTGTATCCTGTTTGCACTTTGCTAGGGCTTGATAATGAAAGGATTTTTATCATGTGACAATTTTTATGTGGCAAGTCCTTAAAAATATAAATTGGATGGATATGGGTGGGACACAGAATTCCTTAGAAGATAGCAAAGGAAGTCCAGAGCAAATACATCCATGTTATTTACAACTTATCAGGAAACCAGGGTGGGCCACTATGGAATAATCACAATGGCAAGTCATGAATTTACATTTTGGTTACAAAACTGAGTAACATAGTGACTGATGTAAAAAGATACCTAGTCAAATCAAATCCTATTGCTTTGATTCATCTGAGCAGGTACTTCATTTTTAGGCACTTGTTAACAGGGGCTAAAAGGAGAACCCATTATTTTAAAATTCCTATGTGTTTGCTAAATCTGAGCCCTTAATATTTTTGTCTGTGTTCAAAGGCTGCAGCTAAATGGTAGCACATAAAGTTCATGAGGGCAGTTCCATTCCCACACACTCTATACACACAGACAGGTCTCAGGTTCACATGGTTATTTCTGCACCATTAAGAGAACGCAGGTTCTGATCATCAAAGCGCCGCCTGACACTTCTCCTCACCGCATCGGCCCGTCTGTATGGTTGGTTTCTAAGATCTGTAAAGAGAAGAGTGCTAATCAAAGACCAGCAACCTCTAGTATGTGTAAACACAAAGGCCACTTGTAGCCCATCAAAGCAGCTTGTGAGAAGAGTCTGCTAATGAGCACTTGAAACTCACTGAATACTGAATCAGACATGTAACATTTGCTATCAATATTTACAGTACAATAAGATGTAATACTGGTAGGATCTGGGACTTGAAGAAAAAAACTATATAGATTATTTCTGTCACTGGCCAGAGTATCTAGTTTTAAGTCTTATTTTGAATTTTCTTCATTAGAAGCAGCTGTATGTGGTTTAGCTTTTTGCTTTTCTGGAAGCCTGAATAATAAACTCTAAGCTGCAAAACTAATAAAAGAAGAAACCTCAAGGCCTTAGATTGCAACATGTTCCACTGTTCGCATTCTAGTAGAGCAGGGGTGTGTGTGTGTGTGTGTGTGTGTGTGTGTGTGTGTGTGTGTGTGTGTGTGTGTGTGTGTGTGTGTGTGTGTGTGTGTGTGTGTGTGTGTGTGTGTGTGTGTGTGTGTGTGTGTATGTGTGTGTGTGTGTGTGTGTGTGTGTGTGTCAAGCAATGCATTTCCTCCATATTCTACCGTTGTGTGTGTGTTACAAGCAATGCATTTCCTCCATATTCTACCACTCAATAGTGTGTGTGTGTGTGTTACAAGCAATGCATTTCCTCCATATTCTACCACTCAATATTTCTGTACTTTACCAACAAGGAAAATGGATCCTCCTTTTTCCAGTTTAGGTTGCTACTGTAAAGCAGAATATTTAACATTAAAACAAAAAGCCGTGTGGCTCATGCCTATAATTCTAATGCTCAAAAGGCTGAGATTTGAGGATGACAGTTCGAAGCCAGCCCAGGCAGGAAAGTCTATGAGACTCTTCTCTCCTATAAACTATTCAGAAAGTGCCAGAAATGGTAGTGTAACTCAAGTAGTAGAGCGCTAGTTTTGAGTAAAGAAGTGCAGGGACAGCATTCAAGCCCCAGGACTAGCACACATACAAATTTATTTTTTAAAAAATTATATATATATATATATATAAAGAAAATTTTAAAAACAAGCCAGGTGCTGGTGGCTCACACCTATAATCAGCTACTCGGAAGGCTAGGAAGGCTAAGATCTGAGGATCATGATTTGAAGCCATTCCAAAGACTTCTGGTTAACCACCAAAAAACCAGAAGTGGAGGCATGGTTTAAGCTAAGGGAGCGAATGAGGCCCAGAGTCCAAGCCCTAGGACCAGCATAAAAAAATAAAAGGACTGCATACTGGCTCAAGGTACTGCTCTAATGGATGAAGTAGGATGAAAAGTTTCATGTAAGTATTCTCAGTATTGAAGGCCTTCAGAAATATGGCAGGTAGCCAAGTTATCTAGCATGGAGCTTCCTTTGGGTGGAGTCAAAGCAAAGAAATTGTAGCAGGCATTAACTTCTCTCTTTATCTCAATTAGAGTTTATTTTCCTTCTATAACTTATTATTGTTGACTTCTGCTAATAAATATCCACCTCCAGAAAACATGCAAACCAAATTTACTGTTTTGAAATGAGTGTACCCTTTCTATCCCTCCATCTATTCACAATGAAAATGGAGCTAATGAGCTATACTCAACCCATGTAACCTTTGTCTGACACACACCAAATTATAAATATGGATATTTAAGTTGATAACTAACAAAAAACCAGAGCTTCTGGTTCTTTTGAGAAATTAAGATTAGGCATGGGAAAAGCAAGCTGTTAGGTTACCTTTTTGGCTGCTAAATAATTGGAATTTGAAACCCTGTCCTATTCTTCCTAAATTCAAGCAAAGAATAATTATATATGTTCTAATCCTCTCAAGTCTCTACTACCTAAATCACACTAGTCAACCAGAATGCCAGAATCTTATAAATATCTTTAGCTCTATGGTTCTTGAGTCCTGTAAGCAATTAGTTCTAAAGAGCCTTTCAAAGACCGTAGATCATATCCCCCGGGCCAGGACCTGCTTCCAACCTCCAGATCAACGGAGTGAAGTGGGTAATTTGCAGAGGATAAGGGAAGGAAAGCCTTAGTACCCAGAGCAAACACAATCATCAGTAAATACCCTTGCCCAAGCCATCACACTTGAATATGGAAGTAGGCTGAGAAAAAGTCCAATAGAATGACTCAGCCCCAGATCTTAGCAATGTGAGGTTCAAAGACTTCTTCCTGGTCAGATTCTCACCAGTATTACCCTTAGCCATAAATGAAAACCATTGATCAGAGAGAGGAGGAAGCTAAGTAAAAAGTGATGCTTGCCAGCTCTGTGTATCCTCCACCACCGGTGTGCTAGAAGAAATCCTTACCCTCGAGTGAACATTTGGAAATTTAGTGATATTATTCTTCTTTAAGGCTAAACAGAAAAAAAAACAAAAACACAAAATGATGGTTAAGTAAAAATGGGATGAAAATGGAAAGCAACTCAACTTAGTGCTTAACATTCCCAGGCATGTTAGCCAACAGAGGAGAGGGGAGACCATTACTACAAGTAGTGTTAGATATAACAATGGAAAGATATGTGTCTTCCCACCCAGCTCTCTGACCACCCAGTTCCAAGCTGCTTTGAAGATTGGCTCCAGAAAGACAGTCCAGCAGCAAAACTTAAGAGCAAACAGCCTTGGCAGATGACAGCTTCCAGCCTGTTAATAAGCACTGTCGGGTAAGTACACTACAGAGCAGGCAAAGACACTATTATGTCTTTTGGTATCTACAAAGACAAACACACGTAACAGGTACAATTCATGAAATAGTTATATACAAAACAAACACCCTGTTCCATGTCAATAACAGCCTGGCTGGAGTCAGTCAATGGCTATTCCCAATTAGACTTCTTCTTTTGACTTTTCCTAATCAACTAAGTATGGACAGAAGGTTGTTCCCTTTTAAGCAACAAAAATAAAGCCCAAGTTGGACTGTTTTTTGAGTTCTAAAGAATGTGGCCTGACCAAAGAGGCAGGTCCAGATAGGACCGCATCACAGAAGGAAGACTTGCTTTGACATGGAACAGAGCTACCGGTGAAAGGCATGACAACAATGTCAGGGGCTGTTGCCCCTTTGTTTCAGTCCCTGCCTTGCAGCTCTGCTCCAACATGGAGCTGCTAATAGCTCAAGTTGGGCATGACAGTGAATAGAGGTGACATGCCTATGAGGGCATGTCATGAGGCCATGAGTCGCCAATGCCAGCATACACAGGCTTTTAGGTCAAAAGGGCTCCAGTCTTAAGCCTGTATAATCAGTTCTATCACGCTTTGGATTATGTGAGATAGTTGACAAAGGCCCAATTTGCACAGTCCAGTTCCTTCTGAAAATGCAGCATTTTCTGAGCCCTTTTGATTACTAGGTAATTTTACTTCCAAAGCATGTTAACTGAGTATAAAAAAGAGGTGGTTTTAATAGTATAAACCTATCAGAGCACAGTAAGTACCCAATAAATAAGCTCAGCAGTTAATGTAGTTTTATTAGTTACATAATGTAGTTTCAATCCACTTGGTTCCAATCCTGATTCTCAGATCATTCCTGATCATTTTGGAAGGCAGTTCTATTAACTGTCACACACCCGGACATCAAAGCAATGCAGACACATCACAGACTCAAAGTGGCAATGCGTGCACCATAAGGACCGATGTAAAACCATGCAGTATGAAGACGACACAAATGCAATGCGATGGAGATGGTGGTTCCATGCTAACATGTTAGCTGACCCTAATACACACACAAAGGAGAACATAAAAAGTCAAAAACCTGTAGCAACCTTTTAATAGCATCAGGTGAGAAAGAGCAATAGTTTAGTAATGGTATTCCTCAGTGAGAACAGGTTCGCAGAAAAACCGAGAGCCACGCTTGGCAGTTCGAGCAGTAAAGGGCACAGTCTTCAACACTGCATTGAAAACGACAGCCAGACACAAACAGAAGAGAGTAAAAAGCTATGATCTATTGCATTAGTACATGGTTAGTGCTTTGGTTAATCAAACCTGGGGCTGCGGGACAGGCAAGGGGAAAGGCAACCTACTCTCTAGTTAGTTCAGAGATCTAAAAGAGGCCACCTGGGACTTGGGGATGAGGCAGAATACAGAAAATATTCCAAGGAGAATAGAAACTGCTCTACACCACATACATTCAAACTCCTCTGGTAGGCTAGGGAATTAGGTCAAGCAAATATTTTGTAATTTTGCAACATTTGTAAAACATAATTCATTACGTAAGCCAGGTGTCATGGAAAGAAGGCCATACTGATGAGAAGGGGTTCCAAGTTAATGTGTGGGGTTCACCGCTTCCCTGCCTTATTGTGGCAATGGGACAAAGAGGCACTCACTAGGAGGAAGGAGGGCTCAATGAGGCATTTCTCAGTGTGAAAGAAGCAAGAAGAACATTCTAGACAATGGGGGCTAGCCAGGGCTGCTGCCAGCCTCTGCATACACACTGAGATTTGTGAATGTGGGGGGTGCACACTGTTGGCACTGGCCACTAACCTACCCACGGGCTCACATTGCTTTCTCCTGGTCAGAAATTTCAGTATTGATGGCTTTTGTATCTATCTTCAACACATCTATTTACTAAATCTTCCTTGGTCTTGAGCTTATGAAAAATGTTCTGGTTTGGAGAGTCTGGGATCCATATTTACCATGTTGACAAGACCATAAGAAACAACAAAAATCTGCAAATTACATGTAGGACAATTGGGGCCAGGCTCTGGTGGCTCATGCCTGTAATCCTTGCTAGTCAGTAGGCTGAGATCCAGAGATTCAAGGGACAAAGCAGGCTCTGGTAAAAAAGCACAAGAGATTTCATCTCCAAACTACACAGCAAAAAGCCTGGCTGGAGACATTCTCAAGTAGTAGAGCACTAACTGAACAAGCAAGTAAACCGAGCAAACGTGTTCAACCTCCTATCCATGAGAGGGAGGAGGGTAGGGGGCACAGGATGACAGGGGAGGAGAAGGAGACAGAAAAATTGGGAATATGTGAAGAATGCCTAGATTCTGATTAAGAAATTATTAGGTTTAGGGTGTGTGATAATGGTACTATGAATATACTCTGGCTTTGTTAAGAGGGTATCTTTGAAAGATACAAACAAATAGTTCCAAATGAAATATTTCCAAATGAAATCTTAGATATATGCTTAAAGGGGGCTGGAAACAGACAGTTAAAGCACACATGTAACAAGACTGGCCATAACTGGTCACTGCTGAACTGGGTGTGGAGCTACACGCAAGTGCATATTCTGCTCTTTACCCTTCAGCATGTTATTAACTTTGCCATAATACAGCAGTGTCCCCAAACCACTTAAATGGGAGATACAGCTCAGTGATAGAGTGCATGACTAGCATGCTTACGATTCTGGGTTCAAGCCCCAGCAAAATACACACACAAACGCAATATGCTCAGTATCTTAGAAGCTGATAAACAGCATCCATGTACAAGAGATATGACAGAAATCACTTGTTACCATCCTGACTGGTAGGAGGACGTGCTAAAATTCAGCAGCCAAGTTGAGAGATCATTCTTAGCAAGTCCCCCACCCTGGGCTAGGCCTATGGGATCATCCAAATTACAGTACCCGGCCCTAATTTCCTACTAAGTGTAATTACTTTGAATGAGTTAAAGGACTTTTAAAGAGCATGCTAGAAAAGCCTGTATGCACCAGGAACTAGTGGCTCACGCCTACAATCCTAGCTACTCAGGAGGCTGAAAACTGAGGAACATAGTATGAAGCCAGCCCAGGCAGGAAAGTCCATCCAACTCTCATCTCCAATTAAACACCAAAAAAGCTGGAAGTGGTGCTATGGCTCAATTGGTAGAGCACTAGCCTTGAGCTAGAGCCAGGACAGTGTTCAGGCCCTGAGCTATGAGCCCAACTATGAGCAAGGAAAAGAAGGCAGCAGCAGCAGCCTATATGGACTGTAGTTGATATGGAGTTGCATGGGTGGGAAGAAGTGGCTACAAGAAGGAAAATGGAACATGATAGATCCAAAACAGGGGGAAAATGATCAGCAATGGACCCCTGTTGAGACTACAGGCTTTCTTACTGAGAAATAAGGAGAACTAAGCAATGTTTTTCAGAGTGATGGGGAAGTGTAAGTTGAAATTCTAATATGGCATAATACTACATCTGAAAGTGAACTAAAGAACTTGAAAACCCTGATCACAAACAGCTGCAGATTCTGTGTGTAGTCCAGTTTAGCTGAGGGTCCAGGGAGGAAACACCTTTACCTGTGATGATATCTTCAATGGCTCCATCCTTCCCCTCATATACATGTCTGTTATCTTTGACCTGTCGCCTTCTCAACTCTGCAATTAACTCTTGTTGCTGCCTCTTTGATTTATGGGAAGGAGACTGGAAAGAAAGAAAGGCAAAGATTAGTGAGGCCACTGGGAGTTTTGGGGGTTTTTTAGTAAGGTTTTTATTGTGAAAATACTGTACAGAGGGGTTACAGTTACATGGGCAAGGTGATGAGTACATTTCTTATCAAACATTGTTGCCTCCTCCTTTGTTTTTCCCCTCCCATCCCTTCCCTCCCACGTCCACAATTACACTCCTCTCCCACCCCCTCACCCCTCACCCCCCACCCCTGCCTAAATTGTAAAATTCATTTTTCAACATAGTGTAAGAGTTTTTTAAAAAAAACTCAAAATGTTGCCAGAACTTTATTTTAATAAGCACCCTCTGCCAAAAGTACATACAGCACCATCTTGATATCTGCTCTAAATGGGAAAAACCCAGGGAGTGTTTGGAAAGATAATAGAAACTTTCTCTAGGCTGCAGTGGGAAAGCTGAGTCCTGCAGCCACCAATGCAGCTGGTAGTAATCATAGGCTTTTCAAACATTGGAGTGAAGACCCTCCAGCCTCTGATCCTTACCCAGGATGCAGCCCTGAAATGCTTCCTCACAACCCTCCCAAACCAAGACACCGTCAGTCACACTGCCTGCACACCACTGTCAGCACGGAATTCTCACTGGACGCAAAGTCCTCCAGCCACAGGGTCAGCTGGTATGGCCTCTCTATCCAATGAAGACGTAAACTCCACGCCGCTATAAACATGGAAATGCTATGCAAGCATGCTCTTCAGTCTCATTCTGGTGCTGCTGAAGTAAGTGATGAAAGAACACATTTCTGCCTATCAAGCCTGGGGAGAACGTGGAGAGGACCCTGAGCGGTCTGCCTGTTGCCGTTCTTCTCAGCCTCACCCCTCGGGTCTCCCAGCAGCCCTTCCTACCTTTGGGTCTTGCTGCTCCATCAGAGCTTCTTGCTCCAGCAGTTTTTCCATGAGAGCCTGTTCCTGCTTTTTCCTCAGCTCGTTTTCATCTTCTGCTTGCTGAGGGGGGGAAAATCACATAAATGGAAATGACTGTACTCGATACTTTAGTGAGCTCAAGTTGAGTGGCTGGAAGGGTAAAGCTTTTGCTCTTCATATCACCGTTCCATTCTGCCTCAGTGACTGCGCGTCTTCAAAAGCTGGAAGCTGGCGTTCGCTCATGCAGAAGTCCTTTCCTGTCTGCGAGCTTCTCCCTGGCTTCAATGGCTTCCAAATCCCAGTCCTACAGACTGCATCGATACCCACCTTCTTGGCTGCTGTGCATGGTGATTTTTCATGTGTTTGTTTTGATTCTAGAATCTACTAATTTACTACAGTTTCTCAGAAAACAAGATCTAAAACTCCTCTGCCTTTTGTCCTTTATTTTGAAGAACACCTCCGTGGGTTCTTGTCTCCTTCACTGGTCTCACTGGCATGCCTCTCATGGACCTCTCACTACCACTCACCCCTTCCATTCAAGGCCTACCAACTCAGGTGAATAAGCCAACGGGCTCAGTCCTCTCAGACAAACACTCTTGAGGCTAACTCCCTGAAAAGACTTCTGCTAAGCTATGAACTGATTTAAAAAAATCATCTAATTTAGGGCTGAGGTATAAACCAGATTCTGTGCCTTGCATCTCAGTCTCTATTAACAGTAATTTTTTTGGGGGGTTGTTTAGGGGTGTTTTTTGCTTGTTGCTGGTGTGTGTGTGTGTTTTCTTTTTTTCTTTTTTGCCAGTACCAGGGTTTGAACTCAGGGACTCGTAGTTGCTCAAGTTACACTTTACCACTTGAGAGCTAGCTCTAACCTGGCTCTTCACCGGTTATTTTGGAGATGGGAGGTTCACAGACTTTTGAACCATGTGTATTTGTTATACATTTCCTTTGGGTTTATATTTAGGAAGGGATGAAGTGCTAAAACTTCCATTTCTGCACACCAAGTACCACATCAGTGCCAAGTGGGAGATTGTTTAGAACCCAAGGCAAGGAACACATGCCGTTGTCACACCACTTCCTGTCAAGCACGTTAACGAGGAAGCTGAGACAGCTAGAGGGAGACATAGTAATGGGGAGGAATGTGCTTGTGCCCAGGGGCAATGACTCCACAGAGGCCATCCGTGCCGGAGCACTGGACATGGAGACAACCCAGTACCTCCCAGCTTATATATACACTTTCAAATTTGCATTTAACATTTAACCTTAGACCTGTAGTTGTGAGCTGTTTCTTTTTGTTTTTGTGATATGGGTTTGAATTTGGTACCTCTCGTTTCCTAGGCAGGTGTTCTACCACTTGAGCCATTCACATAAGGGACTTGAGCATCCTCAGCTTCTAGAGTCTTCAGGGCTCTTGTAATCAAACCCCACAGGTACTAAAGAACAACCTTGTAGACTTCAACACGTTCTAAAGGAGCTAAAATTCTCTAATACCTTCCTTGTCATTCTTCCTCCTATGCCAAACACTTCAGACTTAGGCCTATTGGGGTCACATGAATTTTCAAGTCAGTGGCATAGATTATATCCAGGAGGTCATGTCATTTTAAGAAAGGGTCATTATTGGCTCAGATAAGGAAACACAGAGAAGCCATCGTTAGCAGAAGCATCCATCAGTCTACACGAGCTAGTAGTGTTGGAATCGCAGCTGGGCCAGGTATAACACAGCAGGCCCCTTCTACCCTCAGCTTTACCACATGCTTTTTCACAGGTTAATCTCTTATTTTACCCATTATACAACACCGTAAGAGCCCTGGATTTTCTGTCCTCCTTCTTGCCTGTATAGGTCATCAATCAGCAACAGGGCAGCAATGGTCTTGGGGCACCTCACTTTCACTAGTGGGAAGCCAAGAGCTTTTGTTTTCTGGCTGATAGCCAAACTTGACCCTATGGAAAGAGGAACCATTGGGGCCTGAGAACTCCAGCAAGTGTTTGGCCTCTATAGAGCCAGAGATAAATGTCTGTCACTCATCTCCTGGGTTTCCTACCCGAAGTAGCCCAGAAGGCGTCTGTAGAGCAGCTGGTATGGACACATTTCTGGAGGAGGCCCCTGCCTGACCAGTAACAAGGACACATGTCTATGACACCCCTCCTGTTTACCTTGTAGGCCTTCACGAACCGCACAAACACAGGAAAGAAGACAGAGGGGGGTGTTGTCTTAGGGTTTTCTCCAAAATACTTCACCACATCATCAAAGGCATCCTGGAAAGAAGAAAATTTCCCTTGACTCTCATCGTTTTCAACATTTGGATTAGATACTCTGGGAGAAAACAGAAACAAAGCTCCAGGGAGGGACAGGAGCTTCCATGGTTTCTCCTCCTCAGCCTCTCTCCCTCCCCACTCCTCCCCTCCCCATCAATTTCTACAGCCACCAGAAGAGTACAATAGCAGGACCCAGGAATTCATCTCTAGGACCTCCTAGTATACACACACACACACACGCACACACACACACACGCACACACACACACACGAGTTTCCTAAGGCTATGTCAGAACCCCATAAACCAAGAAGATGAAAGGGATCTCAGAAGTCTCTCCGCCTCAGAATCCTGACCCTGTGCTTCATGTTTCTATGGCATCTCCACAAAGCGGACATAGTGTCTGCTCCAACTCAGTGTCATGCAAGATGGCTTCAAATCAGAAGCCATGCCACTCTGCGTTCAGTGTCCCAGCACTTTATAATCTCCCTGCTGTGATGATTTGCCTTCATTCTGTTCTGTAGGTTTGTGCACACATCAGCGACCCTTCTGGTGTCAGGCTAGATTTTGAGGTACAGATCTACTGAAACCTCATACTCTGGGGACAACCTTGCACATCTATAAGAATACCAGTGCTAGGAGCTAGAAGTAATAGGAGAGAAGAAAAGGGGAAGCAGGGGCCTGTACTTCCATCGTCAACACTAGGTTGTTGTATACAACTCTGTAATATTTACTTACTACATAAGAATCCATCCTCTGGAGTAAGAGGAATGGAACATTCTCCCCAACCTACGCCCTATGCCCTGGGGAGCACTGAGACAGCCACTTCCTTCGGCTACCTGTGCAATCTTGGCATCATCCTGCAGCTTCTTCAGCTTCCCCTCATTGTGGACAATGAACTCCTTCAGCAGCGTGTTGTGGTCATGCATGGTGTACTCCCTCTTGGTCAGGTCCATGCCCCTCTGTAGCTCCTTGACATCCAATAGGACATTCTCAAGAGAGACTGATGTAGAGAAAACAATGTTTCAGTGAACTTCTAGCAAATCAGTACTTGCTTAGATTTACTTAGGGCCATTAGATTTAGTTCCCAGCTTTTAACATAGAGCCTGTAATGTAAATAATATAGGAAGTGCTGGCTATCAAGCATTGCAGTGAGTTCTTTATATGCATTAATTAACCCTAAAATACACAACAAAGTGGAACAGGCCATGAAAATCTAAATTCATAATCAACACTGGCTGCTTATGTTTCAAGAACCCAGTCTGAAAGCTCTGGCCTATAACTAATTCCAAGGTCAATTTGCATATCTTTCACATAAAACTCCAAAGGATCTTTTTAATAAGACATAAAGCATTAAATGGTATCTATACAAGAAGTCAGAAGACTTGGGTTCTAGGCCTCTGTCCATCACTCTCTTGCCTATGTGACCTTTAACCTTTTCACCTACAGTAGGGGTTACTGTTACCTCAAGCACCCCAACTTTCTTACAATCACCGATCATTTAGATGAGAAAATGCTGTCAGAGCACAGCAACAACCAACAACTAGTAATTTAAACTAGTGTTCCGACAACAGAAAATTGTTTAGAATTACCATATACTAGTAGGAAGAATGGCACAAAATCAGAAGTCTTCCTTGGGAGGTGATCACAGATTCTCATTCCCATTTCTCATACAACCCCAATGGAACAAAAAGAGCAACCAATGTGTAAGGGAAGAAACACAGACACCAAAGACCTGGAGAGTCATGGCCTTCACAGCCACACTTCAGACTGCTCCTGGGAGTAGGTATCACATCGCAATTATTGCTACTGGCTTTCTACTTATTTTTTACTTATTTTGTGATAATAGAGGGCACTGGTGAACTCAGAGCCTCTCACTGTTACTTAGCTTTTTCACTCATGGCTGGTACTCTTTGACTTGAGCCCCATCTCCACTTCCAGCTCTTCGGTGGTTAACTGGAGGTAAGAGTCTCAAGGAGTATTCTGCCCCAGCTGACGTTGAACTGTGATCCTCTGATCTCAGCCACCTGAGTAGCTAGGATTATAGGCATGAGCCACCAGAACCTGACTGGTCCTGTCTTTATAAATGAGTTCTGAAGAATTTTCAAGCAAGGAATGGTCGTCCCATAATTAAAGGCGCTAATAACTCAAAAGTAACCTCAAGAGCAAAATTAAATACCTGCAGCAGCTTTTTCCACATAATGAAGCTCATTATAAAATAGTGACACTTGGTGATATTTTTCTTTTACAACATTGGATATATAGTGCAACAGTGTTTGTTTTCGGTCTGTTGATTTTGTGTCTAAGAGCTGAAAACAGAAGGAGGAATGGTTAAGCACAAGAACAAGGATGAAGAGAGTTGCCTGCCAGGTCATATGGACCCCAAGGCAAGTAACAATACACGTTGCACCCAACAGGTTGGCAATAAACATTCCCAGAAGAAATGCAGGACTCAATGCTTAAATCCACGGCCTTCTGCTATCACCTGGCTTTTTGGCTCACAGCTGGCACTCTGTAAGAGCTATACCTCCATTTCCAGCTTTTTGCTGGTTAAATGGAAGAATGAGCCTCACAGATTTGTCTGACCAGGCTGGCTCTGAACTTACTATTCTCAGATCTCAGCCTCCTGAGTAGCTAGGATTTTAAGCATGAGCCACCCAGTTGTTTGGTTTTGTGTTTTGCTTTGTGCAATACTGGAGCTTGAACTAATAACTTTGTGCTTGCTAGACAGCCACCAATGTTTAAAGGATCATTGTTGACTCCTAGGAATGGGTCGGATCCACAGCTTACTAACATGAATTCCCCATGCCTGCATCTGCTATCCTACCTCCTCTGGCTTCAAAGTGAGAAGACTCTAGTGTTAGAGCTCTCCAAAATGAAGGTGCAGGGCAGCAGCAGAAGGGAGGACCAGCTGGAGCCGGCAGACATGTGGAAACTGAACTTCACAGAGCTTCTCCACCGCAATCTTTACTTTTAGCTCAGCTCCAATTTTACTCCCTAGCTTCAAGTGACTCAGAGCAGCTAGACTCAGCCTCTGTGTCCATGTGTTCTGCATCTGTGCACTCAACCAATCACAGATAAAATATTATGGGGTAGAGGGTACTGAACACTGTACTGAACACAATCAGACTTCTCTTGTCATTATTCCCTAAGCAATACTATGTAACAATATTTGCAAAGCATTTACAGTGTATAATGTAAAGAAGGCATGATTTAAAATATAGGAGGTGGGGCTGGGAATGTGGCTTAGTGGTAGAGTGCTTGCCTAGCATGTATGAAGCCCTGGGTTCGATTCCTCGATACCACATAAACAGAAAAGGCCAGAAGTGGCACTGAGGCTCAAGTGGTAGAGCGCTAGCCTTGAGCAAAAGAAGCTCAGGGACAGTGCCCAGGCCCTGAGTGTAAGCCCCACGACCAACAAACAAACAAAAAATAAATAAAATATAGGAGGGAAGGATGGAGGTTATATGCAAATAGTATGCCATATTAAATGGATTTGAGCAACTGTGCAGCTGGCATCCATGAAGCAAGGGATGGGAGTGCTTGGGACAAATTCTCCATAGATAGAGGGGTAACTGTATGTTACACTGAGCTTGATCTTGTGGGGGGGCCTGCAATGTACAGACTGGATGCTCTGTGAAATAACCGTGTCTCTCCTTCCTTTTTCACAAGGAAGCCACAGTAGGACCTCACAGCTTGGTTCCCTGGAGGATTTTCTCTATGCCTGCTCACATAAGTGCCTTTGAAAAGAACAGCACTTTCATCCGTGTAGAAAACAAGAAGTTAAAATAAAATAAAATACCTGCAATATATATTCTGTTTTCTTTCCTAAACTCATTTATTCAATTGTCTGAAAACACTCTCCCGCCAGGCTCTGGTGGCTCACGCCTGTAATCCTAGCTACTCAGAAGGCTGAGATCTGAAGATCTTGGTTCAAAGCCAGCCCGGGCAGGAAAGTGAGATTCTAATCTCCAATAAACCACTCAGAAAACCAGAAGTGGCACTGTGGCTCAAGTGGTAGAGCACAGGCCTTGAGCTAAAGAGCTCAGGGACAGCACATCAGGCCCAGAGTTCAGGCCCCACGACTGACAAAAAACAAAAACAAAACAAAACAAAACAAAAACTCCAAATATGTACATGCAGTAACTATTATGCAGCATACTTAATTCTTTCCCACAATACTAGACCTTGAAATTCTTGCCAATTATTTGCAATTATAAAGTCCATCAGTTGTAATTTAGACTCCTCAGAAAAGATTATTAGACATGAAAATCCTGTGTGAAGGAATATGAGTATTCCTAAGGCGTTAAATCTTTCCCATCAAATAGTATTTCAGAATTTTTTTTTAACCAAGTGATCTTCCCTGCACTAGCACAGAAAATTCATCAAAACTCCCCAATGTCCCTCCGTTAAGAGCACCTCCCCCAACCCCTCCGCAGCTCAGGGCTTAATCTCTGCCAGCTGTTTGTCTTCACAGCTTTCTTATGTCTTGTAGTTCACACACCAGATCTAAACTCTGAAGTTTAAATCCATAAACTGCTCCTCGTTTGCTGCTATTCATATAGTTTCCAAGGGCCAAGATGATCTGCAAAGAAAGAAAAAAGAGAGGCCCATGAGGAAAACTTCACAGGCTTTGGAAGGCAGCTGATGAGGAAGCTCTCCATATGCATATACAAAGAAAACTTTACTTGCCTCCAGTATTTTCTTGAGCTTTTGGGATGACTTTATAGAGACAGATGCTGCTATAATTGCATGCAGTTGCTAGAGTCCAATCACAGGAAGGAAGAGGGAAGAGGACATATTAAAAATGAGAAACTAATTGGAAACTAAAAGCTAACACAGAAGAAAAAAAGGACCTTGAAGTCTTAATAATGAGATTTTGTTTCTACTAAGTATAACAAATGCAGATGACAGGCTGGGCTTAGGTAACCACATCATTACTTACAAGCTGTTCCCTAAAACTATTTGCTGGAACAAGTAACATAGGAACATGGGTATCACAAAAGCTTAACAAACCGAGAACCAATTAGACTCAGAGTCAACAGTCTGTTCTGGCAGAACTCAATTCCCTGCCCACCATCGAGAGAGAGGGGGGGGGGAGAAAGGAGAGAGAGAGAGAGAGAGAGAGAGAGAGAGAGAGAGAGAGGGGAGAGAGAGGGGAGAGAGATGGGAGAGAGAGGAGAGAGAGAGGGGAGAGAGAGAGAGGAGAGAAGTGTGTGTGTGTATGGACTCAGAGTCAACAGTCTGTTCTGACAGAACTCAATTCCCTGCCCACCATCCCTCATCAGAAAACATCGTGTGTGTGTGTGTGTGTGTGTGTGTGTCTGTGTGTGTGTGTGTGTGTGTGTGTGTGTGTGTACTGCGGCTTGAACTCAGGGCCTTGTGTTGTAGCTTAGCTTTTTCACTCATGGCTGGCACTCTACCATTTTAGACTTGCCTCAACTTCTGGTTTATTGATGGTTTATTGGATTGTCTCTTGGATTTTTTTGCTAGGCTGCCTCTGAACTTTGATTCTCAGAACTCCCTCCCCTGAGTATCTAGGATTATAAGCATGAATCAGTAGTGTTCAGCTGCAATGTATACTTTTAAATCAGTGGGGCTGTCCGAGAATGGATCACTAAGAATGAAGTTCTCAGAACATGTTTTTAACAGACATGCTACTATACTCAGTTAACTGATGAATTTCATTTAAAACAAAGCTGGGAACTGAAGCTTATCACATTTATGTCTCCCAGCTAGACCCAGGGAAGGAGGGATAGTTGGCTATTATTTGAATGTCACCAAAAAATAATGTAACAAACTTCCCATAAAGAAAAATCCTATGGTGACATTAATGCTTCAAACAAGAGCTTGTTGTAACCCTGTTCATTATGAACATGCGCTTTAATTCTTGCTAGCACAGCCAGACACTATCTTCAGCAGACAAGCAAGTTTTAAACAATGGTTTTACTTGGCCTCCATACTTAAGTGTCTTTTGATCAACAGAGGACTTCTAGACACAGGAAACAGCATTCTCCAGGACAGTAACAGTATAAAGAAAACCACCACGTTTTAACTGAATGGCACACACAAAAAGATAACTGAATTAAAAATGGAATCTACAAAGTGACTGGAGTCTTTGGAGCCCATTACATTTATAATTCCAGACTGACTTAAAAATAAGCGACTCTGGGGGCTGGGAAGTTGGCTCAGTGGTAGAGCGCTTGCCTTGCATGCTCAAGGCCCTGGGTTCGATTCCTCAGCACCACATAAGCAAAAAGAAAAAAACCGGAAGTGGCGCTGTGGCTCAAGTGGCAGAGTGCTAGCCTTGAGCTGAAGAGCTGAGGGACAGCACCCAGGCCCAGAGTTCAGGCCCCACGACCAGACCCCCCCCCCAAAAAATAAGCTACTCTGTATTTCTTTGGACCCCTCCCCTGCCAGAGCTGGTACACTCACGGGGGTCAGCATCTGAATGCTTTCTGCAAAGTTCCCGATGAAGGCCATGATGGTCATCTTCTGCATGAGCCTCTCAATCTTACTGAACTGCATCATGAAGCGGTCTTCGTCTGATAGGTTCTCCAAGGGCTTCCTTTCCCGCTCATAAAGCCGGAGAACTTTTACCTCATTCTCAGTTGGCAAAAACCTCATCAAACATTCTACAAAGTCCACAGGCAGTGTCTTCAAGTCAAATCTGAACACAATATGGACAGGTCAGAGTTAGAAAGAAAACTTAACCCTTTACATCATACTTCCACCCAGACCAACCTGTCTGCTGTGAAGGCAAGGCTCAGTTCCTGACTGCCAGTCCGACTGCAAGCCCCTTCTGGCCCTGTAAGCTTCAGATATCTTAAGTGATAACTGCAGAAAGCCCTGACCTTACCATATGTGCCACAGTCAGAGTTTAGAGTTATATGTTTAGGGAATTTGAGGTATGTGGGTCTGTAGAAATCAAAAGCCAATGAAAATGAAGGCAAAATGAAGACTGAGCAACTGATAGCTAAGTTCAAGGGCATTGCCCTGACACTGTCAGTATTACTGAAGAAGTTAATGGCATAGACAAGCACAGAATATCTGGTAGATTTTGTAAAATTTCACTTAAACTAGGATTATTTTCCTCACTGGGAAAAAAATACATCCAAATGCCTCTAGTATCTGGAGGTTCTGATGTAAGTAGAAACATCGATGAAGGAATATCAGGTCTTTGTGGATGTAGGATAACTCAAATACATGAAGTATCTGCTACAAGCTTTCTATTATTCTCTGGACTATCTTAAAAATAACAATAGAATTACACTAAAATTATCATCGTATTCAAGACTCAAAAATGTATTTTTTTTTCTTGTGCCCGTACTGGGGTTTGAACTAAGGACTCACACTTGTTCAGTCTGCTTTCTAAACTGGCACTTCACCACTACAGTCATACACCTCCAGTCCTGATTTTTGCTGGTTATTTTAGAAATGGGACCTTCAGCCTTTTCTTCCAGGCTATCTTTGAATCACAGTCCTCTAGATCTCAGCCTTGAGGAGCTAGAATTGCCGATGTAAGCCACCAGCACCCAACTCTTGTTAAAATTTATAAAATACCAAATCATGAAGAATTTTTCCTAAAGCAATAATATTACCATCATGACCACAAAAAAGGAGAAAAAAATTATTCTAATAGCAAAGCAAATAAAGCCAATCCCTTCTCCGTGATTCAAGACTTAAAAGAAAATCTCATTGTTTAAAAGGCCCTGAAAGTACTACTAACAGAATTCACATTCCTATTGTGATGAATTTAAAAATGCATCTGTGCCATATTTGCATCTGACACTGAACTGTATCATTCCACAAATGCCATCACATGTGTACTCAACAAATCTGAATAACATCCAGATACTCCAGAGAAAGCTGCCATTTTCTCGTTTTCACAGGATCTGCAGCACTCAGCTCCACTTTCCTTGTATGTAAGCAGTACTGTGGGTCTATAGCTAAGAGCAGACTGAGACAATGAATGGTGTCAGGTCCAGATGTTCTTCTATAATAAACCATTCCTCATGTGAATAAAGCACCACCCTGGTGCCTTCTACCTCACCTCTGGAATGTTCAACTCCAAGTAAGTAGCATATATGTAATGAGGCCATCTGTGAAGTGTGGATAGCAAAAACTGTTCCACCTTTGTTCTGTGATCTTGCCTCATGGCTGAAATATCTCTACTACCTGCTCATTTATAACTTCATTTTCATTTTCATTCTCAAATCACTAAGATATCACGTCCCAGGAGGCCCTGAACTTACACATGGATAGCTTTACAAATTTCATCCGCAGTCTTCCCAGCTTTCCTCAATGTGATGGCAAGATTTTTGGCCCTGTTTGCTTCTAGTAATGTCACTTTGTTCGATCCTTTTTGTGTTGTTTTCTGCTTGCTTGAAGAAAGATCAATGGCAGGGCCCTGGGCTTTCGTCTTAAATATTTCCTCAAATTCATCCACATTTAAGTCCTGGGATACAGAGGAATGACATTGGCAAACTGGATTATATTTAAAATTAGGTCATGGTACCACCATTTAGACAATTTTTGAAGGGAAGATCTTATGTTTTCTATTATGTATTCTACTTTTCTTTGGCCAGGCCTTGCTCTGTTCTTCCTGTTTTTTGTGAGAGAGCAAGGAAATGTCACAGGTTTACTACTGAGTCCAAACACCCAACTGAACTGCTTTTCGATAATTAGCTTACATGGACAGAGGCCACACAGTAAGTCCATCAGACAAGGTGATCAGTATGATCATCCTGAATCAAGGTAGCTCAATAACAGGTTTTGATATTCTTTTATAACTTAAAGGGCAGTGTTATATCTAATACCTATTTTGTGGCACACACTGAAGATAATCAAAACTGTATCATTTTAGCTTATCTCTTTTAAACAATGCCAGAACTGACATAAAATATTGTCCACTTATATAATTTGATCATATAAATCTGTTTCTCCTCTACATCAAGGTACTTGAACATTAACACTCTATAAGTGATGTGCTAGAGTTAACAAAGCACTAACTTTGGCTTTGCTGCCAGAGAGCACTCCCAATTTCTAACTATTAAGATAGGTACCTCCAAAATCCGCTCATCATCAATTTCGTTGAAGACTGTGCCATTGATCTGATTGGGCTTCAAAGCAACCCAGTTAAACACTGGCATTCTGAACTTGGTCTTGATTGGCTTCTTAATTTTCACAGCTAAAGATGTCAAAGAGAATGAGATTAAGACCCCTCCAAGATCGAGTAACTTGCAAGAGCAATCAGACAACAGTCCTTGCAGATGACGCTTTAACACTGGAGGAAGGATGGCAAGAGGCACCCAAGTGTTCCTAAATACAGAAAACATCAGAAATGGTTTTGCCCATTCAAGGTCTTCAACTAGTTGACTGAGAAATCATTGTGCTAAAAGCTATCTTAGGCGGGGCACCCGTGGCTCACACCTGTAATCTTAGCTACTCAGGAGGCTGAGATCTGAGGATCACAGTTCTAAGCCAACCCGGACAGGAAAGTCCATGAGACTCTTATCTCCAATAAACCACTAGAGAACTGGAAGTGGTGCTTTGGCTCAAGCAGTGGTAGAGCGCTCGCCTTGAGCTGAAGAGCTGAGGGATAGCGCCCACACCCAGAGTTCAAGTCCCATGACCGACCAAAAAAAAAAAACAAAACAAAGCTATCTTAGGGACAGGTATGAAAACATAATAGAGGGAATCAAGTTCTATTGAGGGTAGAGTAGGGTAGTGGGAAGGAGGGGGGCTAACAAAGAGGGCAAATGAGGATGAATATGGTAGATGTAGCTAATTTAAATAGAACAATGAAAGCTGTTGAAATTGCTCTAAGAAAGGAAAATGGAGTACAAGAGAGTAATAGAGGGGTGGATTTGATCAGGATGTGTGGAAAAGTCACAATGAACTATTACCTCCTCCTTATACAATTTATGAATTCTTATTTTTTCAAAAAAACAGATGACAGAAAACCTTCCTAGACAAGGACAATATATGTAAACTAATCTTCCTCAGGAATGGCTTTAGGCCTTTCTCCTGATTTTAAAAAGTTCTCTCCAGGAATCAGCTGTGTTTGGCACTAGATGTCAGTGAGCCAATTAGAAAAACTGAAATAGAGAGGATGGTATATTTCATGGGCTAGGGAACTGCCAACTCCTCTCTGATTGAAGAATCAAAAAACAAAAGGTTTTCGATTTTTATTTCTTAATTATATATCATAAAGAAGCTTTTCAGAACCGCTTAGGTACATACATTCATCTTCATCCCTCTGTTATGGGTAGCCCAGAACTTGAGCACTTCAGCGCAGAACAAAACACACCTTTTACCTGGCTAGCTGTCTGCTTGCCTGACTGCTGCCTCAGTTGATACTGACAGGGAAAAAAGGGACATTAACAATGCCTCTCATTCCTCCAGAGTTACAAAGGCCATAGAAAGACCAAGAATGTTGTCAGATAAATCCACACAAAAGCATGCAGGAACACAGAGACACAGCTTTTGCCAAAGCTTTTACAGGTCTTTCCACCAGCAAGTGTGGCTCCCTCCTTCCTCACTCTTTCCTTGACTCCTCCTCACACTTCACTGTTGTATACGCTACCCAGGAGAACCAATGTCCTCTGCAGGATGAAGGAACAGAATGTTCTCTAGTTCAGGAGTCCATCAATGTGTGGAATCGCACGAGGAACTGAAAGGGGTCCTTTCAACCTGAGCAGGAACAGTTCCCTAACTTGGGGGCCTAGGGGTGACAGAGAGCAGAAGGGCTGTTCAGATGACCAATGTATCCCCTCCATCCCCAGAGATCAGGAGAAAGAGAGCAGCTCTGGGTGGGCCATGCTCCACTGAGCAAGTCACAGGCAGTAGAGGGATCTTGGCAGGGGCACTCAGCAGCCTTTCTTTGCTCATTTTGTTTCTTTAGAATAAATCTAAAGTATGTTTATAGTTAAAGCTTTGCATCCAACCGGGGAAAATTAAGTCAAAAGAATACTCTTTTCATCAGAAAAAAGAGTATGGCCTATGAAGCCAGGGTACTGTCAGAAGAATGATCATCTCTTCTACAGGCTCAACCAACAGGTGTAGACAAGCCTGGGGTCACCGTCAGCCAGCACCCAGACTCCCCATACACACAACAGCAAAATGCAATGGTCCAAAGTAAGATGGCGTGGAAGGATGTCAAGGCACAGTGTGACCAACAGGAACACATGGCAAATACTCAACACACTTGTGAGGAGCAACCTACAGAAAAGCTTGATTGGCCCATCTTTTGTGGAAGCGCAGGAAGAACAGAGAAAAATACAAAAAAAATTAGACACGGTTAGAATCAAGTGGCCTAGCAGTTCACACACTCAGCATAGAATTTCATGCTTCTTGGACACATTTCACAAGGCAGCATAGAGCCAAAAATTCATTTCCATTCAGTTCTGCCTTAAAAACTCACTTACTTTTTAAAAATTCTCTTTAGAAGAGGCAAATTTAAAAAAAAAAATTGTACCCCATTGGTCCCAAGTAGCCATAGTGAACTGTTAACTATTATATGAGGATGTGAGCAATTTCTTAATAAAAATAATTAGCTACAGTCCCAACTATTCATTGAGATCATCCAAGTACATCTCAAAGACACAGCAAAGGTCACAGACTACTCAGTGGTCTGTCATGGTGACCAACTCCAGCAGAGGGACTGCTTCACACTCCAAATACCTATTCCACACTACTAACACTTTCTAAAATGCAAAGGAAACTCTCATTAGACATAACTATGGGGATCTCTTCCTGATCCCCTGATGTGGCACCAAGAATATTCTTGTTCATTGTCCAGTGTCGAGATAAGAGACCCACCACTTGTAGACCCAGAGGCCTAATGACATCACAGGTTCCAGATTTCCTAGGAGTCCTAGGCAAGCCAGCTCAGCACTGACTAATGGTTCTACTGGGATTCTCTGTCTGGCTTCTTTGTTTCAGTGAGGAAGGAAAGAAAAGAAATGAAGGAATGAGGGAGGGAGAGGGGAAGAGGGAAGATTAAAAAGGGGAAAGGGAGAGGGAGCAAGAGAGCATGTGAGGCAAGGAATAAGAGAGAGAGAGAGAGAGAGAGACAGAGACAGAGACTGAATATACTGGCTAAACCTCTCATAAGATTGGCTTCTCTTACTAAGTTCTGAAAGCCAAGTGACCGATGACTAGTAAAGAGGTAAAGGCTTGTTGCCAATGCCTGATTGCAAGCTATTAAAACTGAGAAGGATCTTGTAATCCTTCTATCTTGTAAGAATATGCCTCTCTTGTAATTGTTTAGTGGAAACTATAGAATAGGGAATTTTTTCAATATCCCTACAGCCCTCTGCATTATGGGAGGTACAATGGAGACAACTCCAACTATGGCAATCCTGAACAGAGCTCTAAACCTTAAACTTGAAGCAGTCAGGAAAGCCAACAAACTTTTTAAAACTAAGTAATGGCAAAAAGAAATTAATGCCAGGTGTGGTGGTTCACAGTCATAAATAATCCCAACTATTCTCGAGGTACAGGCCAAAAGGACTGCTGTTTGGAGCCCCAACTGGGCACAAACCAAGACCCAATCTCAATCAGTAAGCCAGTGTGGTGGTGTGTTGGCACCACCAGTTATTAGGAGGCATATATAGAATTACAGTCTGAGTGTATACTTGAGTATATACTCAAGAGTATATACTTGAGTATAAACACAAGAAATGAGATGATGAATAATTGAAGCAAAAAGGGCTGGGGTACAGTTCAAGTGCAAGGCCTTGAATTCAAACCCAGCAATGAGCAAGAGAGAAAAATATGTGAGAAGCAAGAGAAATAATCAGCCAGGCAGAGACAGAATATACCCCTTGGGAAGGAAGCCCTAGACCTGCACACCTCTGCCTCTGAGTTCTATGTTAGAGCTCAGGTGAATTGAAGCGGATGCTGAACACGCAGGAAGCTTTTGCCAAGGAGAAAAGAAGCAGTTCCAAATGACACAGCACAGCAGACGTCTCACAGCGAGTGCTCCCCAGGGGCAACAAGGAAAGCCTAATCAGGGGCCCAGGTGCACAAGGCAATTGTGAGTGTCCACACTCAGTCACTGAGGGTTAACCTGGTGAGGGCACAGGTGCCCAGGACTGCCCGAGAGGGCTGTTTATTTACATTCCACAATCCAACAGTTCCACGATGACTCTCCTCCAATTTTTCTCTTCAGAAGCAATAAAAGTTCTAGAAGAAAGTAGTAGACAGGGAAGACCTTGAAGGGTAAAAATAAGCCATGAATTTACTGAGAATATTACTCAGAATGGACTCCGTGACAGTTTTTTAGAAGTTGATGTGGAAGTAAAAATCACAGACCTGAGGAAGGCAAAATTGTTACAGGTAGATTTTAGGCACCCTCCCTGGAACTCATAGTCACCTCCTCACTGGCCAGTATAGCTGCTGACAGGACCTCTGAAGGGACAAAAGACTAAGCAATGTTTACAGTGACAGTGATCATTTAGACTTGAAGCAAAGAACTGCAGCCTTGGAAGCGGAGGCTGTTAGAACAGTTTCTCGCAGTGAATAGAGGAGATGATTCATTAACGTTCTGGAGTGGATGAGCAAGTGGGATTTAACTGTCACAGGGATGGTGACTACACAGCAAGTCCCAATGCCTGCGAAACATGCCATCATTAGGAATGACTTCATATCATAACAGTTAAGATTAAAAATTCATTTCAAGGGGTTAAAACCAAAAACTTAGCTCAACACCAGTGATTCATATCTGTAATTCTAGTTACTCGGAGGTTCAGATCTGAGAAGCTTGGTTCAGAGCCAGCCCAAGCACACTAATCCATTAACACTCTTATTTCCAATTAATCAGCCAAAGGCTGAAAGCAGAGGCATGGCTCAATTGGTAGAGTGCCAGCTCCAAGTGAAAACTAAATAAATCAAGAGTGCAAGGCACTGAGTTCAAGCCCCAGTGCTGCCCACCCAGCCCACCCACAACCAAAACAAACTAAGAATTTATTTCAGGGTATTAGAGCAACTATCCTCTCTCACTTGCTGTTGAATGAGACCGTATGGTGTGGCAATCTATGTGGCCAACAGGGGGACAGCAGGAATTATTTAGAAGATTTTCAAACAAAGCATGCAGACAATGCTATTGCCAGCACTTTCCCTGAGAGTTTAAATCCACTCCAGCAAATTATGCTCAGAAGTCACAACTGGAAGCCTGAATCAGGCAACATACATAAAGGCATTTCCCTCTTTTCTAAAAGATATTACAAATAACTTTAAAAAATAAAAATGAATCAGAAATACTCAAGGCCTATGCCTAATTCCAAGCCTTGATCACCTCAAGGTCAAGAAAATGTTTGCTGAGCTCACAAAAGTAGGCTGATCCTTCGGAAGAGAACGACTTGTGTCTTCCCAGCTCCTGGTGGGGCCAGGGAAGGTGCGAAGATGAGATGAGCCACCAGAACCTCCTGCTAGAAAGAGTATGACCAGGGACAGTGCCTCTGTGTGTGAGAAATTCCCCTTTACTGGCTACAGGAGCAGGAATAGTCATATCCTAAGAGATGTGTGTCGTCACAAAAGACCCAGTCTGTGAAGAGCAGAATTAGCCCTGGAGATACATAAGTATTTCTTGCACACATGTCCCAGTCTGTGCTCTCACCTGCTAATCCTGAGTTGAAAACCACTGTAGGTGAAGATGTCCCAGGGAGTGGGGGTGCAGAGGGAGGAGGGGGAGGTGGGAGAGGAGGTCCTGGCACAGTCTCGCTGGCTGTAGGGCCTGGGAGGGGAGGAGGGGGAGGAGG